GTGACTATAGGTTATTTAATGCTTTATTGTGACTATAGGTTATTTAATGCTATATTGTGAGTATAGGTTATTTAATGCTATATTGTGACTATAGGTTATTTAATGCTATATTGTGACTATAGGTTATTTAATGCTATATTGTGACTATAGGTTATTTAATGCTATATTGTGACTATAGGTTATTTAATGCTATATTGTGACTATAGGTTATTTAATGCTATATTGTGACTATAGGTTATTTAATGCTATATTGTGACTATAGGTTATTTAATGCTATATTGTGACTATAGGTTATTTAATGCTATATTGTGACTATAGGTTATTTAATGCTTTATTGTGACTATAGGTTATTTAATGCTATATTGTGACTATTGGTTATTTAATGCTATATTGTGACTATTGGTTATCTAATGCTGTATTTTATTATCAGTATGAATCCGCAACTTATGAATTTTTTGTTTTCATTGTCTTTGTTGAACGACCAGCCTCTAATGTGATCACGTGACAATATTGGCATAGTTCGGGAATATAAGCGCTAACAGAACCTTCAGGGTAGGACGATAGGTCCCCGATAAACATATCAAATTAAAATAACCTTTTTACAATTAAGTTAGGCCAAGCACTTTTCAGTAATCCCTTTCGTAATAAGACGAGGAGCGACCTTGGGGAGCAATCATTTATTTAAAAGTATTCAAAGGGCGTTTAATAATGATCGTATGATTCATATCGAAACCAGGTGATTTAATATTTACTATAATACAGTGTATAGAAGACGTTTTCAATACAAATTCAGTCGCATATTGAAATATTAGTTTTAATGGCTGACCAGGAAGGTTTTAACGACGATGATGACAATATTTATTGTTAAAATATGGATATAATAGTATAGTGTATAAAGAGGCTATTTTCCTACGGAAGCTAACTAACTTATATTGAGGTATTTGTAATATGCTATAGTTTCTAGAATTTTGTTCAAGAAAGGTCAAAAGGTCTTTTTTTGTTTATCCAGACTGTACATACATGGACATTTATGTTTGGATAAATTTTTGATTATATGCAATAATAACATAATGATATTATTAAGAATACATGATAATTAATTAGAAACACCAATTAATCAAATAGTTTGCTTTAGTTGACACTAAAAAATAAGGAAACCCATCTTTAAAGATAGAAAGAAGTGTGAGCCAAGTCAAGGGGGATAACTGTTTGAATACTTTGTTTTATATTTCTGTTTTAATCTCTATGCTTTATATTTCAGTTTCCCTTTGTTGTAAAAAATGGCTGGGTGTTATCACGATCAACAAGACTATCGGATCTTAATATAATAATATATAATAATAATAATAATAATAATAATCAGGCCATATGACCAATACAAATAAATATATAATATACATGTAAATAAAATCTTGAATAAATATAAACGGAATTTTGAATAAGTATAAATGGAATCTTATATACACGTAAATGAAATCTTATATTAGGGAATAAAATAATGAAACATATTATATTAGATAATCTATATTTACAATAAGATTAGCATTATTAATCACAGTAATGACTTTCTAAAAATCCTAATATAGAAATAGCGAGAGAAGGTGATATATTAAAGAAAGGTCAAGATTTAACAAAGTTTAGGTGTAAAAAGAAGACTAATAATCATGTTGTTAAAACGGAAGGAAGGTGAAACGTTGCATTGTCTAGTTTCATTACGATGATATCAGCAGGTCGAATGTATTGACTAGTAGAGGAGTGAAACTTATAAATACATGTCCTTATAGAGATGTCACGATATTCACGTTCCATTCTGTATCCGAGTTTTTACATCAACTAGACTTAAAGGATGAAGGTAGTTCTGTGCCATCTATTGTTACGTGGTATGGAAGAATTAATCATACTGTCACTAAAAAAAATATTGTTAAGACCTGGTCAAACTCAACTCATGTTTTTTGCCCGTCATCACCCAAACAGTTTACTAATCGACTTGATGTTTCTTTCTTGGCCTGACGGTTCTATCAGTTATATGAAGAGCTGTTTTTTTAAATTTCAACCAATTCCTTCCAATATACAGGAGTTGAATTCTATAATTATACATATAGATGAGGAAGATGGTAATAGAATGATACCAGGTGATGTGGTCAAATTTGATGATGGAATTGTTGTTAAAATATCAGAAACTATTTTTCAAGATGAAGTTAAGAAATGTAGACTAGAGTGGGATGGTGAAGTGGTCGTGGTACTAGATTGTTTTTTCGACAAATTCAGTCTAGAGAGTTTACTAGTAATCTGAGTGGAATCGATTCAGAATTTTATAGGAAATATATTCTCTGGACATTTGATTTTGATCCCACACCCAACTATATAAAGAACGAGTTCTATCAAGTGGCTTTAGATAATTTGTGTTGTATAGGTCATCCCCATGGTTCAATAAAGATGGTCACTGTTCGACGAATGTTAGGTAAATCACAAGAACGTGATGAACGGTCGACATATAACGAAAGAGCGAATAACCGAAGACTGTAAGTGTAAAGAAGTTGGCTGTTTCAAATATTCCTGTAAAACATGTCCAGGTTCCAGTGGATCACCAGTACATCTTCTGAGGAACGGGCTGAACTTGATATCGAGTTTTAGTCATTTTTTGGGAATAAAATCGGAAGATGTGTTACCAAATGGTGAAAACATGACCTTGGCTTTCACAACATCTTAAAGATGGGTTTCCTTATTTTTTAGTGACAAATTAAGCAAACTATTTGATTAATTGGTGTTTCTAATGAATTATCATGTATTCTTAATCATTTCATTATGTTCTTATTGCATATAATTAAGAGTTTTAAACAATCATAAATGTTCATGTGTGTACAGTCTGGATAAACTTTCTTGATCGGTCACTCATTGGAATTCCGTTGGTAATTCTCTTCTAATTTAGCTAATTATGAATTAATTATGGATATGCGAGACAAACTGGTACTTTTCCAAGTCATTAGAACACCTCTACTTTCTATTCATATAAGTATAAACATTTTCATTTTCATAAATGAAAATAAGGGAACCCATCTTTAATACTTTCAAACAACAATATAGTTTTACTGAAAACAAATTGGATGATGTTTATTAATTATATCGTAATTATATCGTAATTATAACGTCATTATTTCATAATTATTTCGTAATCATATCGTTATTATATCGTTATTATATCGTAATTATATCGTAATTATATCGTTATTATAACGTCATTATTTCATAATTATTTCGTAATCATATCGTTATTATATCGTTATTATATCGTAATTATATCGTAATTATATCGTTATTATAACGTCATTATTTCATAATTATTTCGTAATCATATCGTTATTATATCGTAATAATATCGTAATTAATCGTAATTATATCGTAATTTATCGTAATTATATCGTAATCATATTGTAATTAATCGTAATTATATCATAATTATATCGTAATTAATCGTAATTATATCATAATTATATCGTAATTAATCGTAATTATATCATAATTATATCGTAATTAATCGTAATTATATCGTAATCTTATCGTAATTATATCGTAATTATATCGTAATTATATCGTAATTATATCGTAATTATATCGTAATTAATCGTAATTATATCGTAATCTTATCGTAATTATATCGTAATTATATCGTAATTTATCGTAATTATATCGTAATTAATCGTAATTATATCGTAATCTTATCGTAATTATATCGTAATTATATCGTAATTTATCGTAATTATATCGTAATCATATCGTAATCATATCGTAATTAATCGTAATTATATCATAATTATATCGTAATTAATCGTAATTATATCATAATTATATCATAATTATATCGTAATTAATCGTAATTATATCGTAATCTTATCGTAATTATATCGTAATTAATCGTAATTATATCGTAATCATATCGTTATTATATCGCAATCATATCGTAATCATATCGTAATTAATCGTAATCATATCGTAATTAATCGTAATTATATCATAATTATATCGTAATTAATCGTAATTATATCATAATTATATCGTAATTAATCGTAATTATATCGTAATCTTATCGTAATTATATCGTAATTATATCGTAATTATATCGTAATTTATCAATACCTGAAGATGTTTTTTGTTATCAAGTGTTATTCATTTTTATTATGAGTATTATTATTGAAAACATCTGATGTTTATGATATGTTTACCACAATCTAGAGAAATGTGTTCCGGGTCTTATCTGAAAGTTTCTTAAACATGAGCTGGCGACATTCTTTCTCTTATCGTGTTCAGTTAAATAAATATTGAGCAAATAACATCAAAAATCATAAACAAGTTAAGCTAGCCAATCAAAAACACAGTTTAAATGTGGAATAACAAAGTAACAATACAAGTCAATATTTAGAAATACCCATCCCAGAATCCTATCCTGTATTGTTGATAGTACTATCAGTAGCTGTTGAATTCTGTATTGTTGATAGCACTATCAGTAGCTGTTGAATTCTGTATTGTTGATAGTACTATCAGTAGCTGTTGAATTCTGTATTGTTGATAGTACTATCAGTAGCTGTTGAATTCTGTATTGTTGATAGTACTATCAGTAGTTGTTGAATTCTGTATTGTTGATAGTACTATCAGTAGTTGTTGAATCCTGTATTGTTGATAGTACTATCAGTAGCTGTTGAATTCTCAAAACATCACGTGTATTTTATACAGTCTCTCGAATGAAATAGGTTGCCCTGATGGTTGAAATTTATCGCCACATTTATTTATTCCGATAAAGTTATCAATATTCTAACACGCCTATAAATAAGGAGGTGCGGTTTAGATTCTGTCCACGAATCTCGAAAACACTGGGCGAAAATCCAGAAAACACTGGCCGAGTATCCAAAAAAAATGTTTAATCACTAACAAGTCTAAAAAAAACATAAGCACTATCCATGGATCCAGAAAGAAAAGTCGCCAAATATCAGAGTTTTTCGTCTGAATTATTATCGAGAACACAGTAAATATCTTTATTAAAATTATCCAGCATCATATACTCTCCCTCCGACTCGAGTTGGTCCTCCAGAGTTTGAACTAGTTCATTAAAACTCGGTCGGTCAGCTGGCTCTCTCGTCCAACAACTCTCCATCACGTCAAAACTGAAAATAATTAAAAGAAACCTTAGAGATTCTGGGCTTGAGACAAGAATTTATTGAGAGTTTAGAATTTTATATTTAGAAATACCATACTTACAGAAATTAAAATGTTTATGAGATCAGAACCACTAGCGTTATGTGCTGATATCAGTCCTACTTTTCTAAACCTTATGGAAGATCGGCAACGCCATTCAGTGTGCGACGAGTAAAATTTAGCTATAAAAGCGGCATTAGCCTATTCTTTTGTAATTGCAATTGTAATTCGGGTTATTGCCCATCCGAGCGACTACACGCTTTTTCCGTCTCGATCTAAGCCTCTAACACACTGAGCAACTGCAGCTCACTATTACAAGGAAAGAAAGAAACAACTATATTTTAAAAGGATAACAACTTAGGTTCACAATAAAGGATCCGTTCTACCAGCTGGTCCTAGGCAAAATCTCTTGGCATTGATCTTTCCTGGATTATCATATACAAAATGAAATGAAATGAAATGAATGGAGTTTTACGTCCTATTTTTCTGCACCATTACCCATTTACAGCTGGGTCAACTGAGATAAGGAGGGAAGGGAGATACTCACAATTCTTTGTTACAATGTCCAGGGCATTCCAATCGTTTTCCGGATAAAATAGCCTCCATCGCCATCTTGACTGATTTACCGGGGTACGGACTGGCACCTGTATTAATGAAATTGTTAAGTTACCCCATTCCATTAGGCAGAGATCTACGCCGATCTATTCGCCCGGAAGGAGCGACACAATTCTCCTCAGGATGGGGCGACATAAGGGTACTCACGATCATGTTACGATCAGATAACGCTCCAGTGGCGTTCCGTTGGCGATCTATAAGATCCGATAGCGACTTCATGGTACTTGGTCGCCACCCAATTCCTCAAAATTGTTGAGAACTTGCAAGATCAGTTTTCGCCCAGTTAAGATCCAAGGCGAGTAAGATGCGATCCAATGCGTACTATTGGCGCTCCGAGGGCGATTACTGCGAACTATGGATCTCAAGCTAAATATCGCTGACCTATAGAGATCCATTATCGCTCTAAGAGATCCGATACAGGCGAGACCCTGTAAAACCTCGTGGCGTTCTGCCAGTTTTACGCTTGGCAGCAAAGGAGTAGTCCACTGTATCTCCAAGAATCGCTATCAGATCGCCACAAAGCGCAAAGGATCGAGAAAACCAGCTTTCTTTGAGAACGGTGGCGTTCTTAGACGGTCCGATAAAGCTTCGGTTACGATCTTCTCTATCAAGTAGCGCTCTGATGGCGATTTAGCAGACCAAGTAGCGTTCTGGATGGAGCGCCACTGACCTTTGTGCAGGCGCGTAGACCGACGGCGACCCTGGCGATCATGGAGATTTGCGCTTCTGGCGATCATGGAGATTTGCGCCTCCTAGTGGAATGGATATTTTATTGTATAAGAACTTACCGAAAGTTGCTATTTCCCATAAACATACACCGTAAGCCCAGACATCAGATTTGGTAGAATGGACATTATCTCTTAAGGCTTCTGGTGACATCCAGCGAATAGGGAGAGGTCCCTAAAAACATAACAAAACATTACATATTATCCTAAAATATGAAGCCAAAGACACAAAACTGATCAATCGTACTGGCCTGGTCTCATGACCGTTTAGACTTCCAGTACACATATAAGACATATAGAAACAGGTAGGTAAACATTAAAAATACAAGATATATAGATATACTACTTCTAGGTTTATTACATACTACGTTTAGAAACACATACAGGTAACATTAAAAACACAAGATATATAGATATACTACTTCTAGTTTTATTACATACTATGTTTAGAAACA